TGTTGAAGCATGGAGTGAACTTTGCAGAGCATTAGGAGTTATATTAGCAGTGATACGAACACTGATACATTGTTGTATCCCAGCTCTTTTCATAGGGGAGAAGGAGGATGAACGTATTCTATTCAAAACAACATGTCTCAATTGATACACCAGCACTTCGAAGGTGGCCTTCTGCACTCTCTATTTTCGCGCCGACGATATCAACACATTGTTGAAGGAAAACACCGAAACCCTGTCTACGGTCCTCGTCATATTAATGACCAGTTCTTCCTGATGTAAGCCTTCAATTCATCAAAGAATTCCTCTGCTGGGCTCAGATCAGGTGAATACAGTTGCAAATATAGTAGTTTCACTCCAGCGTCGAAGCATATCTGTTTTATCCTGGTTGAGTGATGGAATGATGTGTTATGCATCACTAGGACAGATTTGGGTTCTGGCCACAGCCCACAGTGCTGGAGCAGCTGGCCCAATGAAATCTTCAAAGAAAGCAGCATCGGTTGAACCAGCAAAGGCATGAGAAGGGAGGATGCCATCTTGGGTATAGGCAGTCAGTATCTGATAACATTGGCCTTGGTGGAATCTTGACACTTGGACTGATTGTCACGTCCAGTGGAGACCAACCACTCCGTCTAAATCCTATCCGTTTATCACACCCAGATTCATCGACATAGACCAGATGATATGAACTCAATTCGGACAGTCTATGCAGGTAGAAGTCTGATCTGATAGCTGCGGGTTCTGCTCTTTTGCTCTCTGTTGAGCTTTCTTTTTGGTCCAACCCGCGCAACAAAGGGCCCGTTGGAGGCTGGCTGTCGATGTTAGTATATCAAATTCGTCCTGAAGAAAGACGACCATCTCATCAACGTATAGGCCGGGTTTCTCGGTGAGGTGGTCACAAAGGGCGTCAAGCATCGGAGGCGTAATACTTCTGGGCCGGCGAGCACGGATTGGAGGCGGACAAACACTGCCAAACAACCGTAGGTTTTGCGGATATGTGATAGTACGGAGTACGCTCGCTACATCCAGCAGCCTTGGTCATCTGTGATGTAGTTGATGATTTTATTAAGAATCATATGGCAAATAAATTCGCGCATCCATGGCTGAAAGATTCATTTTGCTGCTGCTGCTCAAGGGTGCTGTGGAGTGTATTATTCTTGATAAGTTACGCTTACAATATAATATACGGAGTAACTCGGTAACGTTTGGGTTACGTGCCGTACCATCCAACCTTCCAAGGTTAAATGATCACACTTTACCACCCAATTTTGGATTGGCCTGAAACTAGTAGTCTTGGCACCTAGGAAGCCGATTTCGAGCGCGACTGTGGGCATGTAACCCGGACTTGTACTGTACCTTTCCGGGGGCTTTCGAGGTTGAAAGTTCCTGTGGCTTGCTAGCTCCAAGCAAGAGATCCTCACACTAGTAGTTAATAATATTTCAAATTACATTATTAGCGTGAATCAAAATTTTTTGAAACCGCGCTGCTGATCGGTGTTCTCAGGCAAATCCTTGAGATGTTGATATCAGAAAAACTCCTCCTCCGCACCTTGCACACATCAACTTCATTTGCTACCTGTCCCTTGGTATTTTGAACGCACTTCTCTTCCTTCCCTGCCTTAAAAAATGAGGCCGGGCTACTATCCAATATGTTTATCAGGAAATAAGGCGCCGAGGGTTCATCTCGAATGTACGGAGTAAATGACATTCGATCCATTAGCGACTAGCGACTACTTTCCTTGTTTCAGCATACAGAGCACAGACAGATTGTAAGCCAGGGCATGGACCACACATCGGAGGCGGTGAATCGGATAGTAGTAAAGGGGGCGAGGCGGTGCGCTGCAAACAGATTGATTGAGGAAGCGGATAAGGTGGTCAAGTGTATACAACTACACTGACTTGCTTGGAATTCTGGTTGTTATGACAATCACAGACTGACCGCCCCCTCGCTATTTCGTGGCTAGCTGTAGAATAAACAGCAAGTCTCCCCCTCGAGTGGGTGGGGGTGGTAAGAAGCAACAACAGATCAGTCTTGGAGAAAGAAAGGGTATCTGAACACTCTCACATCGGGCAGCGATTTCTTTGCCTGCCGATGCAATGGGCGCCAAACGAATAAGCGCTCGCCAAAAGTCCAGGAAATCACACTGAGGTGCACATCATGCGGGTGCTTTGAGATAGGCACACTCGGCGGGGTCATACCACTCTGATTTCCTGTGGTATGATAAGTTACAGCGTAGGCAGGAGGCAGTATTCAATACGATACAACTACGCGAGAAATCCTACGAGCTGCATGTCACAGCAGCATCCTTGTCGACTACGTGGTCGTTCATCATCATTCCGGTTCCCCGCAGCTGACCCCCTGTTTTGCAACAGAATTGATCTTCCAAACGGGCCCCACCACTCTCCCGGGTTTGGGTCTGTCGGAGCCTTGCGCTTCTTGTCAGAATAAACTATTGCAGGGCGTCTGGCTCCGATATCTCAGCCGGCAGTGATCAAGCTGACCCACAAGAGCGACGGCGATGTGGCATACGGTGGGACCCCTGCAAAGCACAATAGCATTTTCTGTTCGGCCACTAGGGGGCAAAAGAGCTCAATCACCACCAGCGCCATAGTGGTATAGAGGGTACGAATCATCCAATCCAATCCCTCCAATATTTTTTTGTTCCCCTTACTCCGTACTCTTGGCATCCTAAGGCCCCTGCACAAAATATAGATCCCCGCAGCGAGCTGGCGGGCGCCCCGCGTTCCCCCCCCCCCCCCCCCAGCAGCGATGAGAAGTGAAAAGGGAAGTGGGCTTTTATATTCTAATATTCTGGCGGGTGAGTATAAGCGGTAAATACAACAACAACACATGGATAAAAATGGTATCGAAGCTGTCGAGATCGTGACAGGATCGCCAACCTAGGGAGTGGAAAAATACATTTTCTAAGGGGCTCTTTGAGAACCAATAAGCCCCTTCAAACTTACGATGAGAGGGACTTCAGTGGTATGCGTATTTTGTTAGGGTTATCTATTGGCTGGCTATGTAGCAGGACAATCCCGAGGGGTGGAAAGTTAGTATGGTATTCTGCTAATACATTCCACTACAAGTGTCAAACCCAGAGACATCGTCAGTGATCTGCCACAGCTTCTCTGAGACTCAAAGGATCTCTAAAATACCTCTATGGATTTACTTGTGCATGATCTTGTCCCATTTTAGGAATCATATTGCGAAGAGGGATTTCACTGTTCATATATTTTTGGACGTGGTTGTCTCAATATCAATATATAATAATCGACAGGCGAATAAGTAGAGGAATACTCATAGTGATAGAAGGCTGTGGATAATTGTATTGCTATTTGAGTAAAGCGGAGGCTCTGACAATAGACTCGTTAAATCTCTCGTTGATGTTGAAGTCCCGTTCTCCGATACAATGGGGGGATGGATGATAAAAGGAAAAGCTGGGAAGAAGGGACTACCTAGTCATGGATTGGCAAGGATAGTAAATATGTTTCTTGGGGTTGGAAAAAGAAAGGGGAAGCGAACTCAAACAAAAGCAGAAGGGATTCAAAAAGGGGTTTAGGAACCACAACGCAGAACGTTTGGAAGGTTGTGCACATCCTTGGCTTCACGATTGTCCTCCCCAACACATCTAGACCTCCAACGAAATAATGGCCCGTCAGCCCTATGCGTTCCCGTCGCTGGCCAACGCCAAGTTCAAACTGTGATCCCACCAACCAGCAATCAGAATCGCCCCTCCTCCACATACGAGATGGGGATAGCCAAATTTGGAGTGGGTTCACCGACATGGAACCAAATAACCCCTTTCACCCACCCCCCGCCTATCCCTCGGACAGGGCAGCCAATATGGATTCAGATATCGTTGTGAGAATGGTCTTGTCGCTTCATCAGATCAATGAGGTGTTGTTGAAGCTTGGTGACGAATCAATAGTAGTAGAACTAACTATCAAAGAACACATGCTGATAACGCCCGGGCAGGTTGGTCTCCGGGTTTCCCAACCGGTGCACTCCCGATGGATAGGGACTCCTTAGCAAGGATATAGAGGCTCCCGTGACCATATCCCCGAGCGGTTGTCGATCAAGGAATTGTTGCAGTAGACTATATGGCTCCGGGTTTGCCTTCAAATGGAGCTTCAAAGCCGCCTCTGTAAGCGCAACTTTCACAGGTTGTCTGATACATACGGCAATGTGAAATATGATAGCTGCATATGGTCTCATTCAAGTTCATTATTGACACAGACATTGAAGTATTTCCGAGTGTTGGCTCCTGCACAGAGATCTTCATTCAGCACCTCATGCAGGTCTTCATGCAAAATAAACGAACCACGGGTTGATAGGGACAAAAAGAGGGATGATATATGTTGGCGATAAGAAGAGACGTGTCAGAACTTTACTCCTGGAGTCTAGGGGCATCCCCTACTCCCCTGCGCCCCCGACTTTCCCAAAACCGTTGCTCAACGCTACCATAGTTGAATGATCTGAAACAAAAAAATAAATATATGTATAAATAAAAAAAATCAATACTTTAAACGGTGGGGCGGTGTGTAGACATCACATATTCAATCAAGAATGTGCGCTGCCGCTACTCACTAGGTATGATAGATTGGTTTGAGAATATAAGAGTATTGAAGCGAATCCCAAAATTTCTAAGTATTCGATATATCCGATAACTGGCATGGGAAAAAGAAAACAATATACTAGGAATAATACCTAAGTAGAAAGAAAAGAAAAAAAAATCTCAGAATTACAGGAGAAAAAATGCCCTCTTTTTATAACCATAGCCTCCCACACTTGGTGCCTGAGAATTCGTATGGAAATGAACCGTCTTGTATGAATTGTACAGACTGTACATACGGAGTTAGCTGATGGCCGGAGGCAGAGCAGACCCCTTGCAGGGCCTGCCGTAGTTGCCCAGTTACCTTCAGTCCTTCAATACTCCCGACAACTGACTGCTTCCCATATGGACTCCCGAACGTTACCACGACACAGTAATATGCAGAATAGCTTGGTTAGCGGGTCTTGCATTTCATTCTTCGGGAAACCCAAAAATCTTCGGCTGGCCAAACACATGTCTCTGCTGATGGAAATGATGGTGCCTCCAGGTTGTTGAGTCTTGAAGAGGAGGTCGGAGCTGGAAATGGAAACGAGCCAAAGGAAAATGATCCACGAATCGGCGTTATATACATGACGGAGCTTTTAGAGCAGACTCGAAGGAAGCCTTGAAATAGTCCTGCAAAGGGAGGGGGGAGGATGAGGAATTAATGAACATGTTCTCGCAGCAATTACACGGACCATACATCATCAATAACGTGGATTTTGTGAAATTCCCAGTATGTGCAGCTCTACACTATACTAAGGGAAAGTGTGTCCTCCCCCCAACCCACCCCCCCCCAAATACACACCAATCTTTAGGCTAGGTTAGGAAGCCAACTGGCTTCATTAATACGGTTTGCTCGTCATTAAAAATTACCCTTCCGGGTAAAAGCGGATGCGTTCTTGGAGTTTCCATTTGGCAATTGTACTGCGTCAATGCTCTTGAAAAATCCAAACATGACGCGGGGAGAGCTCAAAACGGAAGCGCAAAACGGAAAGCAAAGCGGTCGGAATCAAATGCTCGATGCGCCACGATGGAACGCTATATGCATCATTGTAAACAGTGTTAGGAAGCAACCCCGCTCCGGTATTTTGGATCAATCGTTTCAGGATCTTCGTGGAGTGACCCTCCTCAGAATGGCATTAGCGTTCCGGCTCCCTGCAGGCAATGACCTCCGCAGACTTCAAGACTAATAGTTAAATTATTTGGTTTCTCTCTGACAAAAGGGAAAAAAAGAGAGGAGGTGAACCCACCAGTCGCCTCGGGATATTTCAAAAGCAAATCATGTAAAAATACTGTTTCTTCTGGGCTCTGGTTTGAATGAGAGATAAATGAGTGCCCCGTAGCTGCCTGAGAAGTCCACACCTTTTGGTAAAAAAAACGTCGAGTCCGAAAGGTTATTGTTGTATTTCCTTGAAGCGCCTCCGGCTTGAAAACGGAACATAAAAAATACGCCTTGGGTGATCACCACGCGTAAAGTCCTGCGGAACAGTTAGCAGAACTCACCGGAAGACAAAAAATTCATTTCTTTCTTTTTTTGGTACGGAAAATCATCGTCTTCCAGCAATGCATGTTTCGAGCGGCTGGCGCTTACTCACTGGCTGTTTGAACAAAAAGAAAAAGAAAACAAAAATTTTCCCCCTTCATGAGGAGGTTAACCGGTCATCCATCTTCATCTATCTTCTGCATTGAGTGCTGTGACACACGAGTTACTCTTCTTTTTGGCCACAATTGGTTAGCTGCTTGCTACGTCACCACTGCAAAAAAAAAAAAAAAAGAAAAAAAAAGAAAAAAAATCTTTCTTTTTTTCTTATTTCTCGCTTATGGACGCACCATGGTTGACTTGTAGGTATTATTCTTGGAAGAAGGCGAGATGGGCGGATATTGCATACATGCCGTGCTTGGAAATAGATTTTGTAACGCGCATGAACGAAAAGTGGAATGAAAGAACCTATGGGATCTCAACCACCATCATGTAGTGATGAAAGGACGCTATCTGAAGGCCTTGGGAGAGAAAAGATTCGAAAACGAATCTACGCAGCGTACTCCGTAGATGGAGAACAATACAGGGGATACATCCGGCCAAATAAGTTAAATATTCAATATTTCAGGGTCAACCCAATGACGCTAACCTTGATAGGTATTACTATGGCTACCCTAGGCACGTGCCACTCAACCTATCCATATTGTGCTGCTCTCGTTGAGCCAGGTAATAATAATACAACAACGAATCCTCCTACAGTTTTTCTGACCGAAAATTTAAACCGTGTTCGGCTTTTTTGAACACTCAGTTCAAGTAGATGCCCCATACGGACCAGGTCATTTCACCTCGACAAGTGTGGTCAGTTGAGCTATGCGAGGCCAGACTGAATCTAGCGGCACGCCGGGAACCTTCTCCACAATGATATACTCCGCGCCTACAGAATTTGGCCTCGAGTTCCATGAATATACTTGGGAAACAGGAGTTTTGCATACGCTGCGCACCTATCAACAATAAATCAACAGGGACTCAATAGTTGGTGTGAAGCATAGGTACATACAAATTCCATTGTCGCTACTTCACTGGCAGTAGTAAGGTGAGGAAGGCAGGCATTGGGATTAGGAATATTTGCCACAGCTTGCATGCCATTGTCCAGAGTAAGTAGGGAAGCTTTATTGCATATGCCATTAAGGTACTTCTTGATGTTGAAGCAGGATTTGGCACCAACAGCCGCCGCCCCAACATGTGCTAACTTCTTAACGTCAAAGTGAATGTATCGCTGCGCTTCATTTTGAATGAATCGGTCACGCGTGTAATGAAAAAATTCATGGTCCAGACTCACTGCTGTATCAGATTAACAACGCTGAACGGCATGTTTTCAGTAGTAACAAACTCACATGATAAGGGGGAGTAGCAGGTCAGTGAGTGACCTGCAGACATAGTGCGGAATGTACGGAGTAGTCTGGCAAACTCGGAAACGAGGTACAGTACATAGTGTCGACTGATAATGTGAAAAGTTTCAAGGATTTCTTTGACCATCAGTGACAGATTCTGGCATCAAGATCGATTATTGCTCTGATCGCAATGTTAGGTGACTCGGCTATCTGAAGTAAGGTGGACTATAACTGATAAATGTTCAAAATTTACAAGACAGGAAGCAGGAGAAAACATATGCTGGAGGTGTTGTTGGAAGGAAAAATTATTGACCCATGCTGTATATTGATTCTGTTAGGTCGCTGGGAGCTCTCTCACGCCAGCGCCATGCTGGTAGTAACTAACGTGTTTAATCAGATGCAGGAAAACAGCGACAGAAAAGATTTACTGCCCTCTCTAAATTTTCATTTCTAATTGGGAGCCGAACAGAGGGATGAAACATCCCCTTCCAAGATAATCAACG